CTATATAAATACACAAGTAATCCTACTTCTCTCTGTAATATTTTATGAATTCTAAAAACGAATTTAAATTTATTAAACGTTTGTTACAAAGCCGTAGAAAGTTTTTTTTAAATATAAATTCATAATAATAATATTCAAAATTAAAAAAAAATTAAATTTTTAAATTTTATTGTTTCAAACAATACGGTAGAAATATTTAGCAGAGTATAAATAATTTATTGTTATAGAATTTTTTTTAATGGACATTTTTATTTCAATTATTATTTTAATTATTATTATTATGAACTCCAAAATACTTTGTAATGTTTATATATTTTCAAAAGTGGGATTTTAAAGAAAGAATACTTACAACAGYTACAACTAACAAAAATAGATTGCATTTGGAAATGGTACCTATAAGTAATATATTTCTAWGTTTTGATAATTTATTTTATATTAATAACCAACAGTAAATCATTAAATGTGTTATACTCATTATGTAATTCTTATGATTTTAATTGAAGATATTTTAATTTATTAGTKTTTATTCTATACTCACAGATCATTTCCCAAACTACATTTTTGTTGATTTTGTGATTCCCAACGTATATCACATTCGAACCTAAAAACACATTCTGTATATTGGCGGCATAATTGATCCCCCTAAAATCATTAAAGTTTATCGAATCTCGTAAATATATTATTATTATGATTTACACAAATTGGCCAATAAATTTATTCGTCRCATATATTAATCGTATATTTTAATCATTACCTGTCTCCTGTTCTTTTCATATCTAGTCCGTACCAGTTGACCTGAYAACAATGAAGATAATAATAAAAGTCAATACAACAACATTTATTTTGAATTAAATTTTTTAAATAAAATATAATATGTAATTTCGCATAAAAAAAATAACTACCTGCAGTTGCACGAAGACCGACGAAGTGCAATATGCATAGTGGCAATAAGTAAACGTCAAATTTTTTTAATAATAACATTTTAAGACAATAACTTGTTCGTGGTTTTCGTTTCAGGAACAATGTGTTTCGTTAAGCAGTTATAGCGTTCATAATGTGCATTCTTTAAAAACATATGCACGAGTGTGATGTCATTGGGACGATATAGGTAATAATATATAATACCTAACTATCTAGCTGTTGACTGTTATTGGGATTGTAAAAATAAAMACATTTAGTCAATCATTCAAAATATATCTCCTCAGAACGTGACTCCGACACGATTTATATCGTTTGATAATACTATATACGTAGGTATTGCATACTACTGCTACATACAGAGTGTCCGGTGAGGGTTTACCCATTGTGATATAATATATCTCTTGAAATAATGAACATATTATAATTTTGTTAATTTTGTAAGACTCGCAAGGAAAGGGCCTACAAATGTTTCACGTTTTAATTTATAATAATTTTAGTATTTTACGTTTTAGTAAAAAAGTTTAAAAAAAAATTTGAAAATAGCCATATTATTGTCGAATTTATTCTTCTGAATATTTTATTGAATGAAGACATCGTTAAACATGTCGAAGAAGATACCCTCTGTTCTACACATCTACACGAAATTCTCATCCCGGATTCTATCGCAATCCAAAATTTTATATTTAAAAAAAAATGTTTATTTGTATAATGCAATTTATTAAATCTTTATAACTTGAAGTTAATAATATATATCTAAATTGTATATAAAATACCTTAATAATATGTTATAACGTGTATTGTCAGACCAGTGACCAGAGCTGCCGTGGTTTTTACATTTAATAATAATAATACAAAATAAAATATTGAAACGTCAAAATATTCAGAAAAATAACTAAATACAATTATTTTTTAAACTTTTTCACCAAAATTTTAAATTAAATTAAAACAGGAAATATTTGTAATCCTTGTCCTTGTAAGTCTTAAAAATAAAAAAACAGAATTATAATATCTCCATYATTTCAGGAGATATATCTCAATGGATAAATCTTAACGGGACACCCTGTAGATATGGACATTTACATTCATTGATTATTGTTATTTTGTTATAAAAAAAAAATTTAATAAAACATATAAGTACATTGATATTCAATTAAAAAAGCGTGAATTCACACATAAAAATATATAGTTATAAAATCAACTAAACTGTATTCAAATTTTAAAAATGTTTTTCTATAATAGAAAAGTAGGTACAAGCTTTCGTGGTAAATATAAAACATTTTTATTTCGAATGCACACATTTATAGCTACATCTAAATATAAATATATTACCGACTCAAACGGATGTTATTAGTTTATTACATTTTAAAAACTGAAAAGGTAGCATTTCTTATATTGTTATCATGAATAATACAAAGTGAGTTTCTTAAATTAATTCATGAATTCATGTTATATTAAACATTTAAACGATAAAAAAATATTATTATGGGTATATAAAAGTCACTGAAAACACAATAAACACACACACACACACACTGAAAGTGGTCTTTCGTCTAATATTAATATTATTGTTGTATACTTTTAGAAATTGAATAATAAAATAAAATGGTAATATCGTACCTATATTATATATATACCAAAACGATAAAAGTGGAAAAGTCGCTTAGACGGGAGATACATTTTAAGCGATCGATTCGACCGGTGCATCGCGATGGTGCGGCATATATAATGCATGAGCACATAATTTACATTTTACATATTTTATTTCGTTGCGAGAACGTTTAAATTATTTATGCTGAGATCATTATTAGTTTTCAGTCATTTCGGTTGTAAAACAAATTGGTTACGGGAAATCTGTACGATGTGGATAATTTTAATAGATTCAGATAGTAAGTTATTACCTATAGGTACTAAACTATATATTGAACGACTTGTTATGGTACTGGTCATATTATTATTTACTCGTCGTTCAAACAATAGGTAATAGCCAATTKGTAATATTTATTTTTGTTGGTCTTCACTAATCATTATCGACTCCGTGATGGGTTCGTAGCAGTGACCAAACATACAGCGTATTAATATACAATGGCATTACATAAGCGAAGTTTTGCATATTATGTATTGCTAAGGCTGAATTTCTTAGTTTTAGTAATTGTAATAGTAAACAATAAACATAATTATTACATCCAATAAGTAAACACATTATATATTACCTATACATAGCAGTATAAAATTATCAATTCAAAATAATATTTCAGAGTCATTACATTGAACCGAATACATTTTAAAATTATGATATTATAATATAGTCCGAAACGGCTTAAACAGCTTAATTCTTTCTTATCCAGAAAAAAAAAATTAAATTTCAGCGCATTACATTTATTTATAGATTTTTATAAAGCCGGTTATTTCGTTAGTTCATCACAGTCGATTAGATGTAGTTATATTGTATAGTACTTATAGTTATAATAATTATACGAATTTGTCATGTTTTCAGAACTACTTACTATTCAGCTCTATAGCTCAACTCTAGATTATARTTCAAAATATTCGTCATTTAATATTAATAACTCAAAACTATCACAGTCTGATTGATGAGATTTACCAAAAATCAGGTAAGATTAGGTTAACTTAACTTAAATTTTCTGCAACCTGAGATGGCGAGAGTTAAATAAAATACTGATCGACATAAAAATGAATGTGTGAAAATTATGTGCTTATATAGATGAAACAATACAGTTTATCACATTTTTTAAATTGGTTTCACTTGTTTTGATATTATATAATATAATATAGTTACAACATTTTGAAATACATCAAACAAGACTAGTTCTACAAAATGTCGACGAAGAATTGAGGAATTATAACATAAACACGCATAATACCTATAAATGTGCGACGACACAATATATAGGTACGYGCAGTTTATTGTAATTTTGTTTTATTGAAACAATAAAATGCACAAAAATATATAACATAATCAATAGAATCCATCGAAAATAATAAATAAATATTTATAGCTTAAGGAAATATACGCCAGCACGCGGGTACCTACGAACACTGTTTTTAAAATGTGTTATAGTGACATTTTTATTGGAAGGGGATTTGGGACTTGCGCATCAATCAATATAAAGTACCTGACCTATACTATAATAATACACACTACGATATTCTATTTCATCACCAATTTTTATTTTGTTTTTATTATTTTCATAACAGACACAAATGTAT